CTGGATTTGGTCCAATCCGATCCAGTCCAATGTGAGTCCATTACAAATGGACCTGGTCCAATCTACTCCAATGAATATTTTAAACCGGTCCAGAGACTGTTTAATCTGTTCAAATTCTTGTTAATTTAGATTGGTTTCAACTTAAACCTGGTTTAAATTCTCAATCCAATATAAATTTATTACGGATGGACCAGATCCATGTCCAATATGTTATATTGGTCCGTCCAGTCCATCCAAATTCAATATGTTTTATTGGTCCATCCAATCCGTCCAAATAGATTTTGATTTGGACGGAGTCCAACCCAAAACTGATCCATTGACACCCTAATCTCCTGAGGTCACAGATATTTCAGGTATGCTCTTCCACATTCTAGCCCATTCTGAAGACGAACCTCGAATTATAGGACAGCTATACCATCCTTGAGGTCTACAGGTTTGCCAAGCTCATTCACTATGGCATACTTCCTCACTTTCTCACTCACAAGAAGCCCATAATCATCATATCCCTCATTCTTTGCATGCTTCCATACACCTTTGTAGTCCTCCTTCTCATAAACGATCGATCCATCGTCCCTCCAATGATTCGCCAAACGACTCATAATAGAGTGCACCGGATGCGCCAAGTCCAACAGTAACACATGCGATCAATAGGAAGATAATTTGCAGAGAGACTTTTGTAGCTTCCATCAGAACGATTTCATAACCCGAGAGTCAGAAATCAACCTCAGAGCTGCGATGTTCTAAAGGAGTCGCCCCACTTCCGATGGCATAACAGATCATGGATCTGATCTTAGTAGTGGTAACTAATTACAAGCAAAAAGAAAATACCAATAACATGAATTGATCAAGTTGATCAAACTGCCTTTACAATCAGACTCTGTAATTAAATAAAATCTCTCTTTCTGGGTTCTTTGATCTTACAATCAGTTTGGAGAAATCGGGGGAGACCAAGACTTTGAAGGAGGGCCTTATGTACTTTATTTCATTGGAGATATTCCCAATGCAAGGTTGCAAAAAGCTGTTATAACGGTGTGGGCACTCATTTTCCCTGATAGAAGTCAATCTCTGCATCAACACATAATCATTTTACCCATCTCTACAGTTTATATCTTTCCGTTCTTTATTAAACAAGAAATATTTACATCATCTTAACTTGAGTGTCCCTCCTACTACTACTGGCCTGCTATGGCTTTGGCAAAACTAGCTGAGAGTCCCGATCCTCTTATTCATCTTCTTGAAAATTTTTATCAGTTGGGTTTTATTTTAAAAACTTGAGGAATAGTAGAGAGTAAATTTGACACTTTGTTTTTTTTCATGAGGAATGTCCCTCCTACTACTATGGACCTACTATCGCTTTGGTAAAACTATCTAAGGGGTTGTGATCCACTTACTAATCTTCTTGAAAATTTTTACTAATTGGGTTTTATTTTGAAAATTTGAGGAATTGTAGTGGGTAAATTTGACATTTCATTTTTTTTTTCCTTAGTGCTTAATGATAATGCCAATTGTCAAAAAACTTAGTGGTACTTTAAAACAATATGTAAACAATAAGGATAGAATTAGTCAATTTCCTAAACCATAGGGGTACTTTAAGAAATTTGACCTAAACTAATCTAAAAATGATCAATATTAAAGATTATTAATAAAATGAACTAAAAATGACTTAGGTATTGTATTTCATAAACAAAATGAATAAAAAATAACATATATGATACTTGAACTTATGACAATTTAATAAAACGTTAAAAAAAAAAGTAACACACAACATTCAGACCAACTTTTACAAATACATAAAATATAAATTACAATCCAATTATAAATGAATCAAATTTGGATCACCCTTAATGAGATTTAGTGCCAATTTGAATTCAAATTTGGACAAATGAATAATGCTTGCAGCCTTACTAGTGGTGTGCTCCCAATTTGAGCATTTGTTAAATTCTGAGTGGGCATGGCCCAAATTTGACCTAGTCCATCTATATACTTGAAGAATTGGGAGAGTGTACCATAGCATTGTGAGGTTGACACTTATATATTTGCTCTCTAGATTATTGACACATGTCTCTCTCTCCCTCCCTTATCTTCTTTATTCTCTATTTTCTCCACCTCTCTTTAAAATTACAAAAATGCCACATATAAAACAAACCTCCCTATATAATTGCCTTTATAATATTAAAAAATTACAGCAATGCCATATATAAGACAAATCTCTTTATATAATTGGTTGAATGACATTTGAAAATTACAGTAGTGCCTCATACAATTATTTATGATTATGACATCATATATATAAAATGTCATTCCTCGTCTTTGTCAATTCTCTCTCTCTCTTTCTTTCATATTCTCTATTTCAACTTTTATTTATCTATTTATTTATTTTATTATTATTATCTAAACATTTATTTATTTAATAAATTATTTATTTAAATAAAATAAATCGATAGAATAAAAGAGATGTGACATTAAGAGATAGATTTCAATAAACATTTATTTATTTATTTTATTAAATTATTTATTTATTTAGAAATAATTTACTAACAAATTATTCTCTCCCCTTGAGCCCAACATTTAGTGTTGTCAACTGGTCGGGTCTAGTTTGAGATAGCCTACACCAGTCCCATCCCAATAGACTTTTATTTATTTATTTAAGAAAAACTAGGGCTGAACCAATAGGTTGGGTCTATTTTAATAGAGCTAAATTGATTGAACATAATTATAATGGTTTTGGTTCCATGATCTTGTCTTGATTAATTATTAGATTGATTATCATTCTTACTTGTCCAGAATTGATTCAAGTCTGGAATCAAACATTATATATATATATATATATATATATATATCTTGTATTTTTTATCATGTTTCATGTTTGAAATAATAAATTTGATAAATAATAAATAAAATAATATTAGTTAAAACTACTCTTTTCTGTCATTGGGTTCGAGTAATTTGTGAATAAAGATTAGCTTCTCTGTGTACCCTTTTGATGCAAAGCTTATAATTACCAGTTTATACATTCATCCATGGATCATGATCCTGTATTTTAAAAGCATAATTCTTAATTCAGATTCAGTTTCGTCTTTTAATTTGATTCATCTGTTTGGGTGGTCGCAAGAATTTACCACACCAATGATCATAGCTGATGTGAACTTTGCTTGAATTGCAATGACAGTATGACATTGAGGCTTCCGGTTTGCAAAGCATACCACTATTGAAAACATCAGATACCATATGGATCTTGGGAAGCATGATTAACTTGTTTGGGGTTCCACATTAAGAATATCTAGACCGACTGTTAATTGGTGCCTTTGCGTAGGTTTATTATGACGGAAATCAAGCTAAATATATTAAAGTTTCATTAGAATTTTTATAAATATAACGAATAACAAAATAATGCACAAATGAGAAAGCTGAAGCCATTCCCAATCCTGCTGATGTTTGATGTTCAGTATAGTTGAGCTCGGATTTTCTATCCACATGGCACTATAATCGTACATTTACATGTTATTATTCATGAAAAGATATTTTTAATGTATAACTGTAATGCCCAGTGGGTAAATGTGTGTAAGATTTTTGTGGGTTGGAGATTTGGATTCGGTATAATTTATTTTCGTGGAGCACACCAAATGGTGGATTGTAAGACATTACAGTCGTACATTAGGAATATCTTCCATATTTATATATTACCATTCATGGAAAGATATTTTTAATGTACAACTGTAGTGTCCTGCGGTAAGATTCTTGTGGATAGGAGATCTGGATTCGGTATAAATTTATCTTCGTGGAGCACACCAAATGGTGGATCGCAAGACACTACAGCCTTACATTGAGAATATCTTCCGTATTTATGTATTACTATTCATGAAAAGATGTTTTTACTTTTTAACGTACAATTATAGTGTCCTGTGAGTAAGATTTTATGAGTAGGAGATCTGAATTCGGTATAATTTATCTTCATGGGGCACATCAAATGGTGGGTCGTGAAGCCCTAATCCTCTAATTAGGGCTGCAAACTGATTGATAGAATGTGACTACAAACAAAATTGATTTGCCAATATTTAAGCGCTTCTGCAACTTACTGTGTTTTGCACCCTCAAAAAGCCACATAAAGCATTTGATGAAAATGCACCCTTTCCCTCCCAAAAAGCCCCGAAACAGCATTTAGAGAATAAGAATTTATTCAGGTCTTAGGGAATATTACCCAACAATTAAGCTCTTAAATTAAACAGTTCCTAGAATTGTTATTTGACCAAGTGGTTTATTGTTAAATCCTTGCAACCTTCAGCATAAATTATTAGATTTCATGTAAAGGGGCATATTAAAAAATAAAAAACCTATTCAGGGACCTCAATTAGAGGTGTAAAGGGGCAGCCCTGCCTACTTACAACTCTAACCTCACCAGTTTAAGTTTTTAAGTTCCTTGATAGGAAGGTTACACCAAACGCTCAAAAAGTAACCAATTAATAAACACTAATTCAAAAGATCTTATTTAAAAGCCTGTTTAAGGAAACACGTCCACCCCAACTAAAAACTTGTTTTTCTTGTTGCTAGTTCCAAAACAAATCAAAATCATCTTGTTTCAAAACATTTTGTTTCTTAAAACAAAAATATGAAAAACATGTTTTTGTCTATTTATTCAACATCATGTTTCATAAATCATATAAACTTTTATACTAGAAAATTTATTTTTATTTTAAAAACTAATAATTTGTTCGTTAAAAAACATGTATTCTTTTTTTGAAACAAAACGAAGTTTTTTGCTGATGTGACGATTCCAAAAACAAAAGCATTTATGTTGTAGAACGCCCCCTAAATTAAATGATAAATTTGATGAGTCAACAACTAACAATCTTTATGCTCTGTATGCGGTGTGATTTATTTGTATTGACACAAATGTATGGGTACAAATAAGAATGCAAATTTTACTTCGTGTTTGACTTGGCTTTGTTTCAGGTTTTATTTTACTTCATACTCGATCCAAATAAACAAAATAAAGCAAAAACTGAAACAAGGAATCAGAGTTTGTAATCAAATCATTTGCATGCCCATACTTTTGCACCAGTACAAATCAAATTGCATTGCAAACAAAACAGGCCTTAGGAATTCCAACAATGGTGCCTATCATTCAGAAGGCAGCATACTTCACCTGTTGCATCGGTGGAAAATTCTGTTAACTTTTACCTAAAAAATACGGAGACTCTTAAGAACAAAAATCAGCAACACCTGCAGATGTGAGGCTCATTCCATTACTGCAACACCACCGGCAGCCTTTATCTTCTCAATTATGTCATTGGCCTCCTCCTTGGTGACCCCTTGTTTCAATAGGACTGGTGTCTTCTCAACTAGGTCCTTGGCTTCCTTCAACCCTAGATTGGTAAATGCTCTGACTTCTTTGATCACCTTGATCTTTGCTGCTGCATCAAATTTCTCCAGTTTCACATCAAAAGCTGTCTTCTCCACCTTCTTCTCTTCAGCCTTCGCAGAGCCAGCAGCTGGACCACCCTGACCCAAGTCCATGCCCTCTGTTGCAATCGGTTGCATTTTGGGATGCCTTAGCCTGTGTTGTAGAGTTGGACCTATCTGCTTCAGTTCATCAGGGGGTAGGGCAGCAATACGTTCAGCAAGCTGAATGATCTTATCAGAAGGTGGGGGTTTAGGGCCATATGGATCATAGAAAGCAGGGTACTTGTACCTCTTAGGCTTGGACTTGGGATCTCTAGGAACAAAATCAGGTTGAAACAGACGAAATTGAAGAGGACCTGTTATCTTAGGGAGAGTTGGAGGGGCATGGACATTTCTGAGTAAAGTAAGGAGCTTCATGGTTAAGTAAACAAGTAACTGCAGAACTGCATGAGAAGGAAATGGTTTAGGACATGGTGACTGCAAGCCACCTAGTCACAATACTTGGTGCAAATGAAGGTTCTATAATTCCTTTTGTTGAGGCTAGTCCAAACTGTCACCTACAAAGAATTAAAGATGTATATCAAGTCATCAGCAACTTTATACAACAAAACAGATAATCCTCTCTTTTATGTAAAAGCACTCTAGCTCTTATATGGGACCATATAGACATGCTTACAGGACAATATACCGATACAGTGACTATATCAATATCTTGCATTAAAAAGAAAATCATGCAGGTCCTCTCTACTTTGTCCTTGCACCTCATGAAAACACATTATACCAATTGAAACTACTCAGAAAGACAGAAACTGATCTAAGTCTAAATATATTTTCTTTTATGCTGCTTCCCAAAAGTGAAAAAAGGAAGAAATATTTAATCTTTTCTTTCACCATTATAGGAAATAGGTAGTTCGATGCCTAAAGAATGGCTATGAACATAACCACGTATACATTTTCCCCATAACCACTTTCAGTGCATAAAAACAAATTTTGTTGCAAAATACATATTTAAGGGAGACGCAATTCTAACTACCCTGTAGCCTCATTTGGATCTCACAAGTATGCACGTGCTTTGCACATGGCAATTTTTTATGATGATGATGATAGTAAGTAACATGTTTTCAAAATTTTCTACATTTTTTTTTATTTCTATGTCCATAAAACCATTCTTATTTGCCATGCTTATTTTGTTTAATATAATGAATATACAATATTAGAGTTGTGCCCAATTTTTTTATATTTTTTTTGAGAGAAGAGGTTAAGCATTTCCATAACAGAAGACTATACAGCCTTACCCACTGAGATATTGAGCAAGGCAAATCTTTGATCAAGGTGATAAAAAAATGCTAAAAAAATAAATATATATATATATGTTAGAAAATTTAAAACAATTTCCAAAAAATTCAAAAAGTGCAAAAAAATAAAAAAGTATTAAACATAATATTAATAAGAAATATAAACTTAAATTTTAAAATTAATGGTTTAAAAAACCTATTATCTAGAATTAAATACATAAACATAACATGTAAAGCATATTCAAATGAAAATTTAAAAATAAAATCAAATATCCATGTTCGGGTCTTAAATTCTTAATTCTCACACAAAAAATATCTTAATAAAATATCTTTTCGAAAGGCAATTAAAATTATAAAATCATTATTTTTGTGTGAGAATTAAGAATTTAAGACCCGAACATGGACTTGTTTGGGCTTGCCTCAAGGGTGTGGTCGGAGGTCCAGGAGCAGAGCCCCCGGCCCAGCCACTAGGTTCAAGAAAAGCAAAAAAAGTACAATTTTCAAAAGGCACACGCCTGGGCCAAGGGCAAGGCGCACCAGGCATGCACCTTTTGAAAGTGTTGCGCCTAGGACCTGGGCAAGGCGCCTACACTAAAATGCACCTCACCTGTGCACCTAGGCACGCCTTTTAAATCACTGAAACCAATTGGCCCTGAATATAGAGCCAATATCTTGCATTCTTCATTTCTGATTGCTCCCCCAATTCCTGCCTCCCAGGTTGCCCATAGAAGTGCTGGCTTCAAAAAGAAGAGAATGGATTCTGGAAGTTTTCAAATGAGAAAAAATTGTATAAAAGGCTATCTCATGACATGGAAATTAAGCTTCAGTGCACTAAAAGAAGTGCTAACTCCTTTGTGGATAAACTTGTAAAACAAGGGGTGGGAAGAGCTAATATGCTTTGGGCAATATTGTAATATAAGATTTATCTTGGGGAGGGTTAAGGATTTTATCCCTCCCCTTGTAATGTTGTATTTGCTCCTCTTTAATTTTTTAATAAAATTTCAATTACTTGTCCAAAAAAAAAATAGAGTTGAAAAGGCCTCTCTACCAATGGCTGGTTTGCACACCAACTATCCTTACAAAAAAAAGCCTACTCCCTTCTCCCACCTTAAAGGAAATGTGATCCTGGAATAAAGGAAATCAAGCAGTCCGAACCATGATTCCTTTCCAAATGCTCATGCCATAAGACTGTTGTGGATGAAGTGGAGCCCAATTCATTAAGGAACTACCATATTTACATTGAATGACTTGGCACCAGAGATTATTAGGCTCCTCCCAAATCTCCATAACCATTTGCAGTGAAGAGCATCATTCATCAGTTTCAACTTTCTAAAACCCACTCCACCAAATTCCTTTGGTTCACACATGGAATCTCAAACAACCAAATGAAGCTTTCTTTCTTCATTAGGGCCCTCCTATAAGAGATCTCTTAAGTTTTCTAGGGATTTTGCAACTACGGTTAGCAAAGAAAAGAGTGAGAACTAAGAAGTAGTAAATCGGTAGACTAGAGAGAACACACTAAATTAAAACAACCATTCCCCCTTTGGACAGAAACCTCCCCTTGCACCCAAAAAGCCTTTTCTTACATCGCTCCATGACCAAATCCCATAGAGAGTTGGACCTATAATGAGCTCCAAGCAGCAGACCAAAATATTTAGTTGGGAGAGAGCCAAACCTACATCCCAAAGTGTAGCTAATTCTCTAATATGAGTAGGGGTGCCCATTATATGGTCTAGACCATTTAACCACATCGAGCCAAACCAAATTTGGCGGTTTGATCTGGTCTGGACTTAAAACAGTTTGGTTTGGTCTGAGGATTCTTCAAACCGTAATTTACTGCAACAAAAAAATGAATTTACTGCTAGAATATAAGTCATGGTTATTTTATCATACATCAAGTAATACAAAGGCCAAAGTTCTATCATAGAAAAAAGGAAAAATATTTCTTGACTCTTTACTTGTGTTAAGAGAATCCCTTCCCCTTGTTTTTAACTTTATCCTCAAGAAAAACAATTAGTTTTAACACTCTGACACTCTACTAGAGGAGCAGCAAGAACTTTGTTTCCATCATTTAGATTATGCATTTTTTGAATTATGCCAATGCAATCAGCCCTTATATGAGGTGTGTCTATTCTTCCCCTGAGTAATGAACTATCTCTTCTTCCCCTACATACATTTGCAATATTTGCCAATTCTTGGAGTTCGTTGGACTCCACTATTTATAATTTTGCTGTTTTAGTTTAATAATTCCATTGAGTAGCATAATTTTTTTATGAAAAGGTAAAGTAAAGTATTGTATTGAATATCAAACCGTATAAAATTCTTCAGATAGAACATTTATTTTCCATGGATTGCTCTTCAAATAGAAGGTGTTATTTGTTTGTAGAGCTTGTAAAATACAACCTAGCTGACAGAACATAATTTTCCTAAGATAAGAAGAGAAAACTGCGTTAGTACTACACTTGATCTGGATTCCAGTAGCTTTGAGATGTTGTGTGTGGTCTAAATTAAGGTGGGCCAACCATATTGACCATTAATTCAACCAAAGATATCATATTGAACAAGAAGAAACCTTAGTGAACAGCTTATCAATCTTAAGTGTAAAACATTATCTGATTTTAGATGGTATAAGGATGTATTTCTGTCCAAAGTACATAGGCTAACTAATTCAAGAGAACCCTATTGGAAAGAACAATTTATTTCAGGGCTTCCCCCATTATTCGCTGAAAAGGTCAGGAACCACCTCAGAAGTCAAGGAGGAGGGGGAATCCAATATACCCATTATACGTTTAGATATCTAGTCCAGATAGTAAAGCAGATAGAACATGACTTCTGCAATGACTTGCGCCTAAAAAGGCAAATCAAAAGATAGAAAACTAACTCCAAAAAAGAGTTAGGAGATTTCTGCTACTAGTTTGGGGTAGGTCCTAAACCCACCAAAGCTCAAGGTTTAAAATGTTGATGTCGATGGAAATGTCGCTTACTAAAATATAGGACATATGTCGGAAATGTCGAGGGGAAATATAGTAAAAATTAGAGACATTGTGGAAATATTATGAAATATGTGGAAATATGCAATGATATTTTGTAAAATGATAAAAGAAGCATTAATACATATTTCTAGACTATTATCTTTATTCCCAACCATTATATAAAGCTAAGAAACTAAGATAAATAACAAATTAGTAAATGACGATTTACTGATTTATTATGCATTTTGATGTTTTTACAAGGTTTTCTGATATTTTCTTTCCTTATTTTTAATTATGATTTATTATAATTCTAATATATTTATTTCACACTAGTAAATAGAAATRCATTTATTCTGATTTTTTAAATATCAAAGTTATAATACATTATGTTTTATTATAAATTTAATAAACTGATTCTCCTTTTTGTAGTATTAAGATAATGATAAATTCTGATTTCTTATAAAACTTAATGAATTTATTATGATTTTTAATACTAAACTTATAATAAATTATNTATAAAACTTAATGAATTTATTATGATTTTTAATACTAAACTTATAATAAATTATGATTTAGTATAAAATTTAATAAATTTATTCTGATTTTTTATATTAAATGTAGAATATGATTTATTATAAAATTTAATAAACATTTTCTGATTTTAAAAAATATTTAAAAAAAATACTAACTAGTTAATATTTTATTACTTGAAAAATATTTTATGTTCTATATTATAAAGTAATTAATTTATTCTTTTGTTTTTATATTTTGTTAATTCTTTTTTATAAATATTTTATTTGAAATATTAAATAGAAATTATTATTGGAATAATTTATATTAATATACTGTATTGTAATAATATAATATACTAATATAATATATTATTAATGTACATTAGTCAACATTATCGACATCCTATTGACATAATAGGAAAAACTGTTTTTTTTGGTTATTTGGACTGATTTGGTTGACATTTCCGAAATATAGGAAATGTCGACCAAAATAATGTAATTTTATATTACCATCCACTTACATGTCGGTGAGCCTTGACATCAACATATGTCGGGCGACATTAGCGACACTTCGCAACATTTGAAACCATGCCAATGCTAAACCAACACATAAAAGGAGAAAATCCAAATTTCACAAAAGAAAACCTGAGAGAAAAGAAAGAAAATCGAAATCTTTTAAAAATAAGAGATCATAAAACCGCCACTTGCTTTAAGTGTGGAAAAAGGAGTCATTTTGCTAACAAATGCTTTAAAAACCTAAAAAAGGTTAATGAATTAGGTGAATCTGTAAAAGGGGTCACCTCTGAAGAAGAAAGAGAAAGAGAAACCTCTACCTCTACCTTGCCAGATGAGTGTTGTGACAACCAAGGTCCCTGTACAGGTAAATGAAACCAGTACAGAAGTTGATTCAAACAGTATTAATATGACCCCTCTAGAAGAAGAACATTTATTAGATATACTAGAGGATATTCCTGATGAGGAAACCAAAAAGAGGCATCTACTTATGGCAATACATAGTAGAGAAAATAATAAAAAACAAAAGTCTAAAAAAGAAAATATAATATCATACAATGAAATTATCAAAAAGGTTCAAGAAACCTCTTCTCGGCCCCTACCTTGATAGACCTAAAGCAAGAGGTTAGCAATCTCAAAACCGGAGCAAATCCCTTGCCTTTTTTCTCTTTCATCTTTTCTGTGAACCGAAGAGACATCTCTTCGAGCTCAATGGGATCCAAGTCGGGAAACTTGCTTTTAAGCTTTTCCATATAGGACTCGAACAAGGTTTGAAAAACCTCGTCTTCCTCTACTAGCTTAAGAGTTGGCGTGAGGTCAAACTTATTCCACCACTTAATTTCAATGATTTTATCAATTGATAGAGGCATCCACGAAACATCCAAATGGTAACTCCATTTAAAGATCCAAGGGAGGTGATATGTTTTGAAGAATTCAAACTGTTTTATATGTTCAAATTCTAAATAGCTTCTTCCTTGTCCAAATTTTGTATATTTATCTAATAATTCCTTTTGGAGAAAGATATCATCTAAAGCTCCCCACGTAGACCACCAAACATAGACCCAATCTGGAAATGGGCCCTGAACTCTTTAGAGAACCGAATAAACCATGAATGCCTGAAGATAGAATTTTGAACGAAAAATACCTTATACCAAGCATCCTGATAATCTTAGTAATTGAACATTCTGGGTCTCCTATCTAATGGCTTGGTGATGAGTCTCGGTTAGATGGAGTCAACCCATGATGCCTTCATCGTGAATTTAACTATTACTAGCTTTGAATAAGTTATTTCTGATTTACTAGGGTCCCTGTAGTAGTACTGAGTTCTAGCAGAACCTGTATGAAGGAGAATTTCTTTATAGTATTTTTAGTCTTTATTTAGACCACATACTGTGAAATGATTACCATCGAGGTATTCTAAGGCGAGATATTGAAGGGCACCCTCTGGATTTACATGAGAGGATACCGCTGCTACTTCTTCATGAGATATTGTTCCCACAAAATCTGTAGAATTGGTTATGTACTGGCTGGAATTAGTCTCAGCAATTGCCGGAGAAGGTTCCCTAATTAAGGGAGAAGCACTGGAGGACTGATTAGTCCTAGTAGAGCTTGACCAGAACTAATAAGTTTGTGGGCTGAACTGATTAGTCCTTCTTTGATGCCTTTGATTAGGACTTGGAGGGAGATCTTGTCTCCTGCTAGCCATCTTTAATTAGATGTCCTTGAAAGAATTCTCCGGTCAAAAAATCTAGCAGAGCATTATCGAATCCTCTAATATATTTAATTTTGAAATCAAATACAGATAAAATAGCTTGTCATTGGGGAAACCAAAATTTTGGCATCTTTTTCCAAAATCTCTTTTGCAGATTTACAATCAATTTGCAAAGTAAAATGTTGATTTATCAAATCTCCTTGAAACTTTGAGATGCATAAAACAATGCCTAGCATTTCCTTTTTGACAGTAGAATATTTTTTTGGGTTTTGTTCCATGTACCAGAGGTAAGCCGGATGATTTCATCTCTTCCATTCCTATGCTGCTTTAGAATTCCTCCATATCCAATCTCACTAGCATCAATTTCTATGATCTTGGGATCTTTGGATGAGGGATACTGAGCCCTCTACTTATTCTTCTCACTATTTGAGTGAACTGATCATTCCACTCCGGAGGACTTTTCTTTAGTCTCTTTTGAAGCAGTTGTTGGTCTCTAGCTAGGTCTCTGTAGTAGTCTACTACATAGTTAAGACTACTAGAAATCTTTGGAATTGGGTTTCATCATTTTACATGCCAGCCTTTTTGGTTTTCTTTATTAATTTGGAAGGATGCAAGAGTAGTAGCACAGAAGAGCTGTATATTTGGACTAAAACGACATGATTGAATTGGCTTTAACTTGAAGGGCAGATGACCCAATTAAGAGTGCAGGGAAACAGTTTTGTCATTAGTTCATTCATGGACTTTGAGATGGATGCAAGGATGATAACAGATCCAGACTCATTTTTTATTGGGAATCCAGGTTTATTGAGGATACATATTTAGGCACTTTCAGGGATTTCCAAAGGAACAATTAACGATTGCAAACTTTGCAATAAATGATCAAATTCAAGAATAAAAGGGTTTTAGGTCCAGATTGATGTTGTTGTTAGGTTGCAGGGACGAGACTCTATATTCCAAACAAACTACAAGACTCTAAACAAAGTTGAAATACCTAGATCAGTGATGCTGTTAATAGTTTGCAGGGACTATTAACAGTGCTACCTAGATCACTTGACAATGGTGCCTTGGTGATCTGATCAGCTGCAACACGGGATGAAGGGAAAAAAGAGTGAGAGAGAGGGGAGGAAGAAGGTGAGAGTGAGAGAGAAACTTGAAAGGGAGGCTGGGATGGTCCACTTAGCCCTCCCTTGGACAGAGACAGTTCCAACCCGGAGGGGGTCTTGGTGCAGGAGGCTAGGATGGTCTCACAAGAGAAAGAAGGTTGTGTGGAGCAGGGAATCGTTGAAAGTCAAGTGGAGAATTTTTTGGATTTTGGGAAGCTTATGGGGGTATCCTTCTCTACGGAGCAAGAGCCTCAGTTGCGAGATTGGATCAGCTCCTCTTTCATCCATGATGCAAAGGATCTTAACCCTCAGTTTGCAAGGAGCTCAGAACCGGAGTCAGATTTGGAGAAAGAAAGTTCTTGGTCAGACGTGTTTTCTACACCATCAGTTCTGCCAGTCGGAAATAGGAAATCCAAACTGTTGAGGGAATGTTATGATCTACTGGTTGTTACCCCTCCTCCTCAGGGAGCCCGTGGCATCAGGGGAAGGGGTAGAAGAGGTAGAGGAAGAAATAGCTTGGGCTGTTAAATTGAGGATCTGGTTGCTCTTTCTTCCTTTGGAGGTCTCTTAGGTTTTGAGTTTTTAGGTTTGGCTGAGGAGTTTGGTTTTCAGATCTCCTCGCTGGTGCATGTTTATGTTGTTTTGTGGCCCTTGAGCTCTGGGCTCGAGTTGTAAGTGGTTCGTTCTTGGCTTCTGTGGGGTAAAGATTTTTGTATACCTCTTGTATACTTTTCTTTCATTTTGAATAAGGTTTACTTTATCTTTCTTTTTTTTTTTTTGATCAATAACATCAATTTCATTAAATTAAGAGAATAGAGGGAAAGGAATACAGAGGGAGATAAAATAACTTAGCTCCCCAAAAAACAGAAAACTCAGGGAAAGCAAAGAAAATTAAAAACTAGCCCAGAAAACAGCCTCCCTAGTCACTCCTTGCTTGGCCAACCCATCCGCAAATGAGTTGGCACTCCCCGTATATCTCTTGCTTCCTTTTGTTAATATCTTTTGTAGTTAACTGGAGTTTTTCAATTCTTGCCCTTCGACTCCACTGGGGATCAAATTTTACTTTATCTTTCTCAAAAAAAAAAAAAAAAAGTGAGAGAAACTGGCAGCGGCTTACCTTGCCAAAGTTCAGTTCAGCTCGGTTCTTCAGAGTAACGCTGAAGGAGGGAGTGACAAGAGATGGAGGGAGGGAGGGTTGAAAACTTGGAATCGAGTAAAGAGAAGGGTTTGAAGGGGTTTTGTGTCATGTACCTCTTTCTTGCTTTAACCGGCTGGAATAGGATTCCGACTCCTGGAAATTTTTAACATAGACAATCCTATTCTAATCAAATAGATAACATGTAACCCGTAAGAGTAAATCCATACATAAACCTATTATAAATTTCTGTTAACATGGGAAGCCTAATAGTATTAAGAGAAAAATGTTAAGTTGTTCCTTATTAGACTGTTAGACTACCAGTGGTGGTGGTGATGGACTAAAAATTGAGGTGGTGGTGGTGATCAACTTGTAACCAATTTTGGTTAGATTCACATTGTTAGTTTTAGTGATTCAGTGGTCGTGGTGATCGACTGAAATCAACCAAAAAAGTGGAAAAAAAAAAAACCATTCCCAAAAGACACAAGATAGCATGACTTCTCGGAAAATTCAAGTCTCTAAATTACAAATACAGAGATTGAATTGAAATGTGACATAATGTATTAACCATAATTCCTCTCAGCCTAAAGAAAAAAGGGGATCGCTGATTCTGAAGGTTGTAAACATGAAGACCTCCCATGTGGGAAATTCTCTAAGGTTCCATGTGAGCAGGGTGGTTCGGTTGTGTGGTTGTGCAACAAGCCAACAAGGCAACAACAAAAAAATAGAACACATGATGATTAATGACAGTGGACAATAGAGTGTCACTTACCAGTAACAAGCAGCAGTGAAAAGCAACCAACAAACTCAGGGAGGCGGTGATGATCGTTCAAACCTCAAGTCAATTTCCCGTTGCCAATTCGCAGAGTTGGAGTTGGAGACTGAGTCTTGGACCTCTTGGTTGCAGCAGGCCACCGACGGTGATTAGAAAGTGGAGACTGGAAAATGGAAAGAAATATAATAGCACATGAGTAGATGACGGAGATGGAGCAGAGCAGACAGGCAAGATTTAAGAGAGACTTGAAGGACGATCGGACGAAAGATTTTAGATGCTTAGGGTTTGCAGGTTTTGGAATTTTCATTAAGGACCTGTTTGGGAGGGCTGAAACAGTGAGTTGGAATTTCGATTTTAACCATTAAGGACTTGTTTGGGAGGGCTTGGGTTAGGCCCAATTTGACCATCCTCCTCTCCCAATGACATACTGAGTTTCTTTTCAGAAAATATATTTGGCACATGGGTTCTAATTTTTATCATAAATACTTTTCAAATTGCATTAAAAATAAATAAAAACTTGCATAGGAATTTAAAGCTTGAAAGAACATTGTATAAATGCAATATAAATAAAAAAAAAAAAAATAGAGAGAGATGACCGAACTTACTCTTGAACCTCGGCTTGGGTGACAATATCTGGTGTGAGCACCGAGAAAACAGCTCACTTGGGTAGGATTTGGAATCGCCACCCATCAGATATAGAAATGGAGGTGATGAGACCTCTAAGATTAGCATCAAAATTCATTTCGATTTAAAAGTGACTCCAGATTTCGAAGCATCAACTAAACTAATTCAAATAAGACTCAAATGGGAGAGGAAAAATGTTAGGCACCCCTCTCCTAAATCCAATAGGTGAAACCCACAAAAAAATCCAAACAAGCACAAATACAAAGTGAAAATATTTAATCCGACAAAAACATGCTAACTAGTTTTACGGTGTGCGAAAAGAACCTATCTTCTCAACATATGAATTAGAGTGAAAGGTAAACAAAACCGATTTAACAAATCTATTACTCTAGTATATATTATCATACCGAATGGAACTAAAGGTTAAGAGGTTAAGATACATCTATATCTATCACTCCATGGATTCAAATGTTAAGAAATTGATATATAAAAATCAACCCCTAACTATAACAAAGAAATTAAACACCATAAGAAGAATTAATCTGAGCAGTGAGCACCCAACAATCACATAGACCGATCAACATAGAGAGATAAGATAAATATCAGAGGAAAAGAAGAGGAAAAAGACAAAAAATGGCAGAATCAGGAAGAGAAAGAGAGAGAGACTACAAAAGCTGGTTTTACATGCTATAAAAGAGGAGGGGAATTACATGCTATGTCTAAACCCAAAGTCGACTAACATAATACAGAAAGAACTTCGGTAGAGCTTCTACTGTTGCAAGTCACTTAGCTTTGAAATTCACTGGGCCTGACCCAAAACGCTGATGAATGCAAAGAGGAGTTGGAGAATGAACTTCACCCAATGATCGAGGGCGGGATCTCAAGCGATTGTGGTATGGTTTTCTTCACTGGGTATCAATGTAGAAAACGGAGGGGGTCTAGCCTATTTCAACCTTAGATATTTCGTCTTTGAGTAGATGCAACTCCAGCACCGGAGCAATCTACGTTATTAGGATCAACCGGTAATGGAGGGTCGGCTTGGCTTGTCTGGCGAGATCACTGCCGATGTTGCTTCTAGTTCCTGTCCAAACGGGAAATCTGAAATGGAGAAGGAGCCAGGAGATGATGATAGCAGGGAAACAAGAGGATTAGTGAGGTTGGGATAGTTGGTTTTTATCAGGAGATAGGATGGATCGAACGCGAATAATAGAGGAATTCTACCATTACAGCTTCCCTATTATTCCTCAAGAGAACTGAGAGGGCAATCAACTGTGGACTTAAAATGAACCAAGGGAGAGTGATGGAAGCCCATCCCAAAGCCCATCTCACCACTAGGGGCAGCAGCTCATAGGATAAGGATAAGAGTCCAAGATAAGTCAAGAAAGGATAATCAAGACCCATCAAGACTTAATCCAAGACTCCAAGACTTATCAAGAATTCCAGCAATCAAGATCCATCTAGATTTCAAGAATCATCAAGAATTCTAGAGTCAAGATAATCAAGATTTCCAAGACTTCTAAGATTCATGCACAAATGAGTTCCAGGGAGATCGGACGATGGAAGAGCAGCCCAAGAATGTTTGATCCTATCAAGATCAAGATCAAGATCAAGCCAAGAAGAGTTCGAACCTATCTACAAGATTGAGATGTTTAGATCAACTACAAATTTAATTTTCTTTCCTAGTTATTTTACAATTTCCAGATGTACTATAAATATTGCTTTTCCCAAGTTAATATTCATCAATTCAGAATTCAGAATTTCTTCAGATTTCTTCTTCAATTCTCGCCACCTTTTCTCTCTCCTAGAGAAATCGTGTAGTTTCACTAGAAACTAGTGTTCGCCCGGTGCTTGCATAGCCAGCTCTGGTTTTCGTTGCTTCCACACTGCGTCAGGTGGTATCAGAGCAGGGAGTTTGCCTAGTCAGATGGCCAACCAAGATGGTAGCAGTCGCAACCCACCCCATGACGGAGATCAGGGGTTACACGCTGTTTGGAGAGCGATTGAAGAACAGCGCACGACCACACGTAACATCGAACAACAGTTAACAGAGGTGATTGAACAACTGCGAACCTTGTTACGGGAGGTTGTTCCATGGAACTAGGAAAATCCACATCAAATCGAAGGAAACAACCACGACAGACCACCCGTCAATACTGCGTTCCGACGTCCAGTTCTTGACGACGATAGTGAAGATGATTTAGAATTTGGTGGTGCTCCAGTTCTTCCCGGCAACAACAGAAACTGTAGAAACTGGCACAATCAAGGTAATTTCAATCCCCGCAGGAATAATGATGAATTTAAACTCAAGGTAGATATTCCTACTTTTAGTGGAGATCTTGGCATAGAGGGACTTCTAGATTAGATCACAGAGGTCGATAGATTCTTTGAGTACACGGAGATACCAGAGGAACGAAGGGTAAAACTGGTAGCTTTCCGATTAAAGGGAGGCACATCTGTTTGGTGAGAATGCCGAAGAGAGACCCGGATCAGAGAAGGAAGGGGTCCTGTTCGAACCTGGAGGCGCATGAAACAGCTTATAAGAGGTAGATTTTTACCCCCAGATTATGAACAGTACATGTTTGAATCTTACCAACGGTGTGTGCAGGGTTCTCGTAGTGTTAATGAATATACATCTGATTTTTTTAGATTAGCTGAAAGAAATCAATTATCTGAAAGTGATAACCAGCAGGCAGCCCGTTATCTAAGCGGTTTAAGACCGTCTATCAGAGATAAAATTGGTGTACAGATGGTTCTTAGTGTACAGGAAGCAAGGAACCTAGCCTTGAAAGCAGAATTGATGTTCCAAGACAAGGCACATAGTGATAATTATCGTCGGTACAGCGGGAGCGACAACTGTCAATAGGAACAAATCAGTCCCGGCAGTACAGTCTTCTCACCCGGCAAGTACAACTAACGCCGGTAAGGCTGTTACAGGAGGACATACTCGAGGTAACCCTTCCAACCCTCCTAAACCCAGTAATCCCTATGCAAAGTCTGCTCCTATTAAATGCTTTAAATGTAATGAGGTTGAACATAGATCCAGTGACTGTCCGAGGAGGAAAGCAGTTAATATGGTAGAAAGGGAGGAGGAAGAAGATGTGGAGGAGGAAGTATACTGTGGACCTGATGGGGAAGATGAAGAGGGTCCATACGATGTGGAGGAGGAAGAAGATGTGGAGGACATACTCGAGGTAACCCTTCCAACCCTCCTAAACCCAGTAATCCCTATGCAAAGCCTGCTCCTATTAAGTGCTTTAAATGTAATGAGGTTGGACATAAATCCAGTGACTGTCTCAGGAGGAAAGCAGTTAATATGGTAGAAAGGGAGGAGGAAGTATACTGTGGACCTGATGGGGAAGATGAAGAGGGTCCATACGATGTGGAGGAGGAAGAAGATGTGGAGGACATACTCGAGGTAACCCTTCCAACCCTCCTAAACCCAGTAATCCCTATGCAAAGCCTGCTCCTATTAAGTGCTTTAAATGTATGAGGTTGGACATAAATCCAGTGACTGTCTCAAGAGGAAAGCAGTTAATATGGTAGAAAGGGAGGAGGAAGTATACTATGGACCTGATGGGGAAGATGAAGAAAGTTCATACGAACATGAAGAATATACCTGTGTTGTGAGAAAATTAATGTTGTCCTAGAAAAATAAAGATACTTCTCAAAGGCACAGATTGTTTCGTACTAGATGTACTGTCAAGGGTAAATTATTTGATTTAATTATTGATAGTGGCAGTCAAGAAAATATTATTTGTAGGGATGTCATACAAAGGTTACAGTTACTTCTTGAAAAACATCCAAACCCATATACAATTGGGTGGATCATGGAAGGAGGCAGCGTACGAGTGGAGGAGCGTTGCAATGTACCTTTTTCTATTAGTAAGTACCATGATGAAGTATATTGTGATATTRTAGATATGGATGCTTGCCATATTTTGTTWGGGRGGCCTTRGYARTTTGATAYARATGCAAGGCACATGGGTAGGAAGAATACCTACCAACATGAAAATGAGGGTATACGTTATACTTTGTTACCCATGGCTGAAAAGAACATTACAAAGGCCCCAAAAGCACATGAGATAAATTTCCTTAGCATTACTCATCATCATGCTGAATTTGTAAAAGAATGTAAGGATACTCGTGAGGTACATTTGTTAGTAGTAAAGGGAGAAAATGTTAATGATGAAAATAAAATTTCAGTGGAAGTGCAGGGACTACTTGATGAATTCCATGATGTAGTTCCAGAGGAATAACCAACTGGACTCCCTCCCACAAGAAATATACAACACTATATTGATTTTGTTCCAGGTGCCAATCTACCTAACCTCCCACATTACATGATGAGTCTTAAAGAAAATGAAATCTTACGGGAAAAGGTAGAGAATTATTGAAGAAGGGACACATTCAAGTCAGTATGAGTCCTTGTGCAGTACCAACTTTGCTAACACCTATAAAGGATGGCAGTTGGAGAATGTGTGTCGACAGCAGGGCCATTAACAAAATTACTATTGAGTACAAATTCCCCATTCCTAGGTTGGACGACATGCTAGATCAGCGTAATGGAGTTGTAGTTTTCTCAAAGATTGATCTCAAGAGTGGATATCATCAGATCAGGATCTGTCCCGGAGATGAATGGAAGACAGCCTTCAAGACTAGAGATGGCTTGTTCTAATGGCTAGTCATGCCCTTTGGACTAACCAACGCCCCCAGCACATTCATGAGGTTGATGAACCAAGTATTGCGTCCCTTCACTGGTAAATTTGTGGTAGTATATTTTGATGATATTTTAATTTACAGCAAATCTATCACTGAGCATGTGGGACATATTAGGGAGGTCCTAAAGGCATTGAGGGAAAATAAATTATATGCTAATTTGAAGAAATGCACTTTTATGAGTGACAATTTATTATTCCTGGGATTCATTGTGAGTAAGGAAGGAATTAAAGTAGATGAAGAAAAAGTGAAAGCCATTAGGGAGTGGCCGACCCCATCAAATGTCACAGATGTGAGACGCTTTCATGGGTTGGCAACTTTCTACAGGCGATTTATTAAACATTTTAGCAGTACTGTAGCTCCCATTACTGAATGTTTGAAAAGGGGAAAATTTCAATGGGGAGAAGAGCAAAGTTTTGCTCTCATAAAAGAGAAATTATGTACTGCTCCTGTCCTAGCCTTGCCAAATTTTGATAAATTATTTGAAGTTGAATGTGATGCTAGTGGAGTTGGCATAGGAGCTGTATTGTCCCAAGAAAAGAGGCACATTGCTTTCTTCAGTGAAAAATTATGTGAAGCCATAAGAAAGTGGTCTACCTATGACAAATAATTTTATATTGTGGTTAGAGCCTTGATGACATGGGAACACTATTTAATTGTAAAAGAATTTGTTCTCTACACTAATCACCAGGCCCTAAAATATCTTAGTGGGCAAAAACAATTAAGAAGTGATTTGCATGTTAGATGGTCTGCTTTCCTAGACAAATTTTCATATAAAATTGTGTATAAGGCAGGGCAACAAAATAAAGTGGCCGATACTCTTAACAGGCGTGTAGCCCTCATCAAGACCCTCAGTATTGAGATTGTGGGTTTTGAATGTTTAAAAGACCTATATGCCCAGGATGAGGACTTCCAACAGGTATGGGAGAAATGTGTGAATAAGCAGCTAGTAGATGACTTTTACATCTATGATGGGTTCCTTATGAAA